GTTTAAAAATTTTACAAGTCTTAATGAAACAATAATAATCTGGGAAGAATCGGGTATAGGTTACCCATCTCACCCGAAATCTCTTAAAATTAGGCTAAATCTAAATATAGTTTAAATATTCTACGTTAATGTTCATATTATTCAATATTTTTCAAGTTAAATTCTTCACTTCACGTAAATATGGTTCAAATTTGAATAGTCAAGAATTCTTCCACAACTTAGTTACATAAATGATTTCACTAATAAAATTAAAGTTCCACTCACGGTTTTAATCCTGTACTGACCCGACCTGATGACCTAATTAATTCACTGATCACTGTCTTCGTAATGACGTCACGTTCTGCACGTCAACACCTTCTCCAGTCATCCTTGCTGCTGATCCCTGACGGTAATGTCATCCGACACACCGTCTGCAATAGCGCGCTGCACGACGCACTGCTACTGCTGCTTGCTGCTTCTTCCAGTGCCTTGGCCAGTTTGCGCAAGCAATCCGCTTGCCCAGCCAATGAAGTATCACAAAAACACCTCCAGACTTCAGACGATCCGGCTCGAAGGACCAAATGAACACTCTATCACTTTCCCGCACTGTTTCTGCAGCACTCACGACCGTCACAAGGATGAGGATATCACAATGAAACTACTACGTCACAAGTTATATCTGTATATTCAGTACTAAACAAAACTTACATCTTAGCGGACCTAGTCAACTCACGGAGAATCTTAACACCGCGATTCAGAAAAAATGGCTTTTTGAACAACGCCATCTAGTTATAAAAAACTAACTATTTTCAACAGTCAGCGACGAAAAATTAACAAAAAAATTGGTTCGCATGTATTCTCGTGGTGCTCTTACCCCGCAACCCCGGCTGAACATCAGCCCTATAGGGCCCCGTCTGTGGTGGTCTATTGGCTCTATGAGGCGCTACGCGCCGTAGATCTCGCCGGAGCTCATTCCGCCACCCACTAATTTGGCGTGGCAGAGAATCCTGGATCCTCACCCCGGCGATGCGCGTCTGGCAAACTGTGTCGCAAAAGTGCACGCATATCTATCATTTCTATCGTTCTTTTTTATTGAATACATAATAATGTATTTTTTTAAATTACGGATAAATGAGAGTATTACTAACGTAAGAGTAAACAAATATAGTCAGAGTACTCTGAACTGCTATCAGAGTTACACGTGTTATTGTGAGTCAACCATACAAATACTGTTGTGAGATATTTTGTACATAATTTTATGTAGAACATTCCCGTGATACACAATGTCTATGTAACTTTAACCATTAAGGTTGCACACGCGACGGAAGCATAAAAATATGGAGTAACTTCTCCCGTTTTCCCGACATTTTCCTTCACTGCTCTGCTCCTTTTAATTGTAGCGTGATGAAAAGTATCCTATAACCTGCCTAGGAATATAAAGAATAATTGTACCAAGGTTCGTTATAATCTGCCGAGTAAGTAATTTTTTGTTTCTATAAGGAACATACAGACAGACACAAAAATTTTACAGATTATATTTTTGGCATCAGTATCGTTAACTAATCACCCCCTGATAGTTTTTTGAAAATTTATTTCATGTACAGAATTGACCTCTCTACAGATTTATTATAAGTATAGATTTGATGTCATGATCGCGATGCCTCTGCCAACCTCTTCAAAAGCAACTCCCGAACAAAACAAGCAAAAGGTCAGGATGGTGTCGAATCGTTATTCGACACCATACTGGCATCAAGGGGGAGCGCATTCCATATAATAATAGATTGAATAAATAATTATAATTTAAAAATTAAAAAAAAAACCCCGACAAAATATCTAATATTCCTTTAAAAAGTAATAATTAAAAAATAACGTGGCGTTAGGGGACCGATCCAAATATTTTATTATCTAGATACTACATATTTCTATTTTGTCGGGGGTCCAATTTTTTTTACTATATGCTTTTTATAGGTATTTTATATAATTTTCTCTCTACCTTCGGTTATGGGGGGTAAGTGGGGAATGAAACTTATAACGGCACAACCGATTTTCGTCAAACATGTCTAAGAACAATCGCACGTAAGTCACCTTTAATACAAAAAAAAACTAAATGAAATCGCTTCATTCGTTCAGGCTCCAGGATGCCACAGACAGACAGACATTTCAAAGTTATAACACCCCTCTTTTCCCGTCGGTGGTTAAAAAGAAGAATGAAGGAATTTTGTGTGATGAGTTGGACATTGAAGAAGGCGGTTATTAGAAGAACGAAGATACTTGTTGTTGTTTGCGCATCTGTACTGAAAGTAAGAGGGTGGATAAGTTGGCGAAGAAGGAGAATCGAGGAAGGAGAAAAGAATGGTTAGCTTCCCTTTGCTCCCTGCGCTGGCGTATGGACAACCACTTTAATTGCAGCCGATGTGCAGAAACATGATCATATTTACGCAGGTTGAAGACGAGACGAATGCATTTATTCAGAAGTCGGTCAAGTTTATTGAGGAGATCTGCATTCAGGTCATAATAACGCACATCAGCCAAAAACCAATTATGGGAAACAACAAGGCCTGCACCAGCATGGACGGGAGCAGGTTTTTGGCGCGATAAAGGGCCCGCAATGAACCGGTCTCCTTTTTGCACACACTGGTGACCAGTGCATGCAAGTAAGGGATCCATATTATAGCGAAGCGAGCGATCCAGTGCCCGTGCCACCGCCAATGAAACCTCTGAGTGAGTATGACAACTTCCAGCTGACACAAGTACCTATATTTTACAAGTCTAACTTAAATATAATAGGTTAACAGGGCACCTATACCTATTTGAAGTTCATTAACAATTGTACAATTTAATGATTGAAATAAAAAAATCCCCTTAACTTCCAGTAGAGTAGGACCAGCTAGCCTCCGAGCATTTTTATCTTGTATATAATCATTTAGTTTTATTTTTTTGTGGGCGGAAAATCATCAAATGACTTCTCCCGCCCAGGGCCGGGCGGGAGGGAGTGTCTGACTGAAAAACCCCCTGTTCCTTCTCCTGCCGAGGTCGCGGTGCCTCATTGCGCTTACCCCGCAACCCCGGCTGAACATCAGCCCTTTAGGACCCCGTCTGTGGTGGTCTATTGGCTCTTTAAGGCGCGCGCGGAACGCTACGCGCTGTACGCTCGGGCCTGGTTCTGGTCGGGCGGCGAGCTGCCCTTACTCGCCGACCGCAGGCCCGTGCTTACGGTGGCCGGAGATCGTCCCTTGATCCCCGACGCCCATAGTGTCGCCAGTTGCGGCTGCTGGGGCGTGAGGAGGAGGATTGCTCCCTCACGCGGGCCGCCTCTCTTTGATAATCATTTAGTTTATAGTATGCTTGTCAACATAAAGATTTCTTTAAAATACATAATTAAAATTTGCTTTTATTTAGATTTTGAATTTCAACTGGGATTTTGTTAACATTAACACAGAATTCCACTTTTGCCAATCTGAATAAAGGCTGACTTAATCTATTCCTATGATAATCATGTTTGTCAGATACTTTTAGAAATAACTGTAGGTTTTCCCTAATAAATACGTTAGGTAATGTTTTTATAAATAAACGGACTCGGTACGGTCAATGATTTTAAAATTGATTAAAAATAATGTTGATCTCCTTAAACTTCTATAGATAGCTATGACGGCACGCTTTTGCAAGATAACGATAGACTCAAAACGTCGGATGCCTGTCGCTACAACAGAATTCCATACGACATGATACTGTGAAAGTAGAAAAACTGCACTCCCGGTCTTCTCTTCCGCGTATAAGGTGATTGATTCACTTCAGGCCAAAGTTTGTTTTGGAACTTGGCATCTCGAAGTCCTCAGTGAATACAAAGGCTGAATTTAAACACGCCTTGGACAAATATTAGAGGGGCTGGAATGTATTCTACACGGATGGTGCCAAACTGTCCCAGAAGGGGTGCACGGGAGTGGCGGTGTATTACCAAAACTCAAGTCTGGCGTCTATATTCACTGGGGAATGTGCTGGCATTTTAGAATCATAAAAAATTACAAACTCCGTAATATTTTCAGATTTTCTAAGTAGCTTACAGTCTCTCATTCAAGATCAGCTCTATTCTCGAACATACAGTACTCTAGTCTTTGAAATCAAATCTTTGCTTATTTCTAGCCACACACACAGGGAATAAACGTTGACATTGCCTGGATCCCTGGCCCTGCTGCTATATGTGGTAAAGAGTGCGCGGATTCATTGGCAAGGTTTGCAGCCTCGAACGATGTCAAGCGACGTCACTACGTTGTGTATGGATACGACTTACGTGCTGACACTAAACACAAGCTGTTCAGCGCGTGAGCCGCAGTGTGGGGAGTCCTCCAAGCGGAAGGGTGTTTTATTATGCAAATATCCAGTCCGGCATCCAGCGGAGGCCTTGATTTTGCAAATACTCTAGTTTCGCCGACACACTATTTCATCCTTACGCAGACTAAGACTCGGGCACTGCTGTAGTCCGGTATTCTCGCTGTGCGAATGCAGTCTTGATGAGGGATCCCTAAACTCCCAGTCCTTCGACCTGTATAAAAAACTTCCCACCCTCCAAGTCCCTCACCCAAACAGTTTTCACTCCCTATTACATATATTGATTTTGTTTTTCATTACAAACCTAATAGGTATGTGATATTTTGTTGGATAAGTAATTAAAAATGAATACGGATTTACTACGATTATTTTTTGATTATGTTAATAGTTTCGGAAATAATCGCGCCAAAAGTAAGAAGATACGGTCGGAAACTACAGAAACCTACACTAAGCGAAGCCCGATCTCTTGGCCGGGGTTGTTGTAACGAGTTTTCACAGTTTAAAAAACTTTGTTCTTTAGAAAAGCGGTACCTTTTTAGTGATTGGAATAAACAGAGGCGACAGACGGCAAATTCTCGAGTTGAAACAAGCATGAAAAAAAATTAATTTTAAAATGTGCACTCTTCCTGGTACTTTCTTTACATCCAATTGATGCAATCATTCAGAAAAGGATTATAATAAAAAAAAACCCGGAGTCATATTTGTCACTATTATATTAATTAAAGTCCAAGTCTAATCTAAAACAATAGGAATACCATAATTACAACTATAACTACTTATTTATTACAAAAAACGGGCCGTGATTTTTGTTCAGTTGACGCAAAATAACATTATATTTATGAAACACAATTTATTTTACAAGTCCTACCGTAAAAACCGCATTACTTTTGATAATTATCAAAATGTAATACGAATTTTGTCAAATTCAATCGCGTCTAATAACACTTTACAAATCGCGCATTAATGACGCTGTCCGTTAGCGGCCAGACGGCGGCCAGTCAGGAGGCAGTCAGCCGCCAGTCAGCGGCCAGTCAGCAGCCGTCTGCCAGCGGCCAGTCGGGAGCCAATCAGCGGCCAGTCAACGGCCAGGCAGCAGCGAGGTGCCGAGTCGCGCGGCGCGGCCGTGCTCCGAGCTGCCTCATAACCGCTTGAGCACGCGGCGCGCCGCCCGGCCCGCGCCCGCGCCCGGCCCCGCGCCCGCGCCCTGCCCCGCGCCCCCGCGCCGCTCGCGCTTGGCCTGCGGCCCGCTGTCGCCGTCGGCGGCCGCGCCGCTAGCCGCGCTGCCGTCCGACGAGTCGCCGCCCTCCTGCAACCACACGTCGCGCTCGGTCACTCACTCACATACCTACGCTCAATAAGTACGAGTACCACCCGCAACTTCCAATTAAACAATAAGAGTCATCATCAGTCAGATTAAAATCAGACGTCACTCCGGTCGAGCCGACCCATTCGTGCCGAAGCTTGGCTCTCCCACACTTCATATGATCATATGATGATTTCCCCCCATCAAAAAAGGGAGGGATAATCAATGGATCCACTGAATCGATTTTTTTATTATCTGGAACTTTCAACCATACTACGCAGGACGAACGAGTCGGGATAAAGATATTTTAACGCAGAAAGGAGCCCGTGGGCACTCGACACTCAAAAGCTAGCTAAGCTATAGTTTTCTATTTTTCTCCAAATGTGCGTGTGTCATCCAGGTGGTTTTTGCACTGACGAATAAGTCAGGCAAAAAGTAAAGTAAGTGACCGGGTGTTAGACGACGAACCTGTCCTTCAGATAAGCGTCGACTACATGTGATACCGGATGCAGCGAGCAAGTCTTCCTCTGACTACAGCCCTAAACATGCGCTGAAGAGACAGACCGACTAGTTCAAGCTCGAGAGCCTCCGTCGCCAGGACAAGGGGTTTTGGTTGACACGGCGTCGACTTGCTCGTCCTTTTGCGTGGTCATGCCTTATTATCAAATTGTAAGGAGAAAAAAGAGAATGTCTATATTTGCGAGTGGTACTGACCCGGCGGCGCGGCGGCGCGGGCTGGGGCGCGCGCGCGTGTATGTCTGTGAGCAGCTTGGCGCGCGCGAAGTAGTCGTCGTAGCGGTCCCGCAGTAGCGCGGCCGCCTCGGCGTTGAGCGCGGACTCCGCGTTGGGCGCGATGAGCAGACACTTGACGGCGAGCAGCGCGTGCTCCAGGCCCAGCTCGGGCCGCCAGTCGCGCTTCAGCGTGTTCACGCAGACTTCGCCCGAGTCGGGCGCCACGTTCGGGTGGAAGAGCTTGGTGAGGAAGTAAGCGCGCGGCGGCGCGGTAGGGAACTCACGACCCAGTACCAGGCGCACGCGGAATGTGCCTCCTGCGTAAGGCGTGCCCGCTGCAAAATTAAGACAATAATTTAATTATCATTAACTATAAAATACAGTTCTTACTTTACATATTATACCTATTCAGTGTAATTAAATTAAACTATACAAACTTTTCCAGGTTAAAATGTAAAAAGTCTGTTATTAGTTTTCACTTAGTTTGGTAATCAAACTTGCACAGTTCAAGTTTTCAAGTGTAACCATTTAGTTGCAAAGTTGCAGATAATTTGTTGAATGGGCATTGACAATATCCACAGATTTCCCAATAACAAGCTTGTTTAGATGCTAACCTGTGGTCACAGAACTTATGCTAGTTATTGGTCAAAGGTGAATAAAGTAGGTTGAGTGTTAATAATTCGCAGTATATTTACTAGAAATGAAGCTTCAAACTGCTAAGTAGCAGTCTTAAAAAGCCATCAAGAGAGTATTCTTCTCTACATAATAAGTGTAGATTAATTTGTCTTAATGTTCCCAATGTGAATAAGGCTCAAGATGCAAAATTTAAGCTTTGCAATAAATAAAGTACCTTCATAATAAGTATACATAACCCATTTATATGGAGCTGTGTCAATGTCCTCTAATACTGTTAAGTGTGTTGCTTGGAAGTATGGATATCGGATGAAACTGACTGGAAGTACACTTTTTGACATGGACAGACAAAGGTTTTACACCGTAGGGATAGGAAAGATCTGGAATATAGGAAAACATTGATAACATGGGTTATCACTGGTAGGAAGTGATCTGATCTGAGCAGTCACCATTATTTTTTCAGGAATACAATATTTCTCCACTTTAGATTTTATTGAAAGGTTAATCCTACCAATCCCCACCAAACCTACTAGAGCAAAGCGAAAAGGAGTAGTGTATGTTGGGATGTGTTAGTCCACAGATATACCTCAAAGAATTGCATTTTACTAGACAATCTATGGTAGGCACTGTAAAGAAATGGTGGTTGAAGCACTCAACAGCCAATTGTTAATGTTAGTGCACTGAGAGTTATCAAAGTCAGTCAGACTGTGTCACCCAAGGAGCAGAAGCTGTCATTACTCGAGGAGTCATTGGCTCTTTTTAAATAACCATCATCTGACATCCTTTATTTCAAAATATTTTATTTTCATATTATTTTAATTTGTTTTTAGACTATGCAGTTTATCGTAAGTACATTCAATAGTCATTTACTGTTTGTTGTATTTAGGTCAGTATTTAGGTAGGAGAAATGTTAAAATTGAATAATTTTAATGTTTATTTTTCAGTATTTAAGTATTTTGTTTTTATTTTTACACTTTTAAGTTATTGCTTCTTCATTTGAGTTACAAGGGGTTTGTTACATGGAACATTTTATTTCGTAGTCAAAGAAAATTTTATTTGTTTGAAATAATTTTATTTGTTTTTGAAATTCCTAATTTTGTCCCCATTAATAATAAATACGTATAATGATTACATTTTTGTTGTTTTAACGCATCCAGTGCCCCCGACGCGTATGTGCGTTTCCTTACGCTACTCTGTGTGCCCTCGACGCACCTGTGCGTTCTATACATTAATGTATAGAACGCACAGGTGCGTCGAGGGCAAAAATGTGTATTCAATTTAATTGTGTCTTCAGTTTAATTGTGTCGGCAAAAAGGGCAAAACAATTTAAGGAATAATAATTCAAATACCAATCAGACTTACAGTAGCCCGAATTCATTATTTTTTAATTTTGAGTTTAACAAAATTATATTACTTTGTAAGATAGCATTTCTCACTTATTATTATTAGTATACATATAAGGCTACTCAAAAAGAATAATTTTTTCATCACCATAGTTTTACACCACTTCCTAATTCAAACTAATACACTGTTTATTTCAGAATAGTGTATAATTCACATAATGACTTTCTACAATAAGCTGACGATATGATACAATAGTCCTACTGGTCAGTCACATATGATAGGCCATACTTGGTGTCCATCTAATGTAATGAATTACACACATGGCTTGAGCCCACCACCGTGGTTGATTCCCGGTCATAGAGTCGCAAGTGACGTCCAGTGTATGTTACACCTCTTAGCACACACAACACAATTAAATTGAATACACATTCAGCTATCGATTTTTATGACAGCCCATGCTATTCCTTTCCCACACAAAAAGAGTGCAGTTCCTAATACTTACCGGGACCCTCCATATGAGCCACTACATCAGTGAGGTCGTCGTCCCGCAACACAAGTTTGATGCCAGCAGGCGGATTAGCTGCGAGCCGACGCAACTCTCGCGCGACTCCACGCAGCACTTGTGGACACACGTTCTCCACGTTAGACATGTCCTCCACACCACAGCTCTCACTCTTGATGAACCTACAGCAAAAAGCTGTCCTAATACTCAAATCCTGTACTTAATTTTTGCGGAAACCATTGCTCAACATCTAGGCGCTCCCACAGAATGTGGCTTAGCTTCTGATTGTTTAATTGTGTGTAACGCCAAAACATGAACACTAATAACGACGCTATGGCCCACTTCTTTATCACTATTTAACGCGTCTATGTTTAGAAGTTCTAACGAACGAATTTCAATACCATCAATCAAAATCAAATAGATGTATAGACTACAAACTACAAAATGTCCACAATCCACAAATGTCGAAGCACAGAGTCACAATTATAAATTATGTATTGTATTATTTTAGTAAAATGTTTTAATATTTAACTTAAACTATCTGTCATGCTATTTGGCTTACTTAAAATTAATCGAAATAATGTAAGTAAGTCAGAATCAAGGAAAAATAAAATACTAAATTATTATAATATAGTTACAGTATCTTAATAATAATTGCAAACGAAATAAATTTGATTTGATTTGAATATCTATACTTATAATATATTATTGGCGGAAGAGTGACGTCTTGGCTGTCATCGGAGGGGATGTTGGTGGGAGAAGCTACGGTTGCCTATAAAAGGGCCTGCGCGCTCAGTGGAGTCCTCTTTCTGCGTTGAGTACACATGGTACAAGGGAACCTCTGCTCGTTTGAAGGGTTAAACTGTCTTGTCTGCTATTAATTTTGCGTGTCTTTAGTTTAGATTGATCTATGTTTGTAATTTCAAAATTCGTTATTTAATTAAAATTTAAATTGTTGTTTATTGTAATTGTGTTATTAATAAATAAGATTGTGATTTGTATTTTTTTTAATATTTTCTTCCTGAAGTTGCCAAAATCAGAAGTGGGATACGCCTCGCGTTCCATTTCGTTTTGTTCGCCTTGAATCAAGACAGTTTAAAACTTCGTAACGTATTTTTTTTTCTTTTTCTTAAGTGGGTACATTTCAACATTTAAATTAACTGTTAAGCATTTGTAACGTCCGCGTAATTAATAAGGTTCAAGTGTAAGTGTGTATTAGTGGTTTTGGTGAGTACGTTCCAGTTTTTCTTGATATTTAGAAAGCAAATTCTTTTGTTTACGTATAGTTGTAGAATTTTACAATCATATGTTTTGATTTGTTGCTATTCATACAATTGCTTTGATTTATTTAAATTTTCTACCGATTCCTTTTATTTGATTTGAAACAAGTTAGAAAGAAACAAGATGCCTAATAGCCATAGAAGAAGAGGCCGTTCAGTGAGTCGAGAATCGCGTCATCATCGTCGTGATGTGCGCTCTAGGAGCCGTGAATCTCGCTCTCGGGGTCGCATCTCACGTTCTAGGGGTCGTGAATCGCACAATAGTCGACTTGATTTGCAAGGGAATAGAATTCCTAGGCAACCTGATATTGCTTCTAACAGTCTATTAACTCAACAAATGCAACAAATTTTAGATCGATTGACATCGCTTGAGGAAGACCGGCGTGTGTCACGTGCAGCATCGCTGCGACAACCGTCCAACCAGCAGCAGCAGCTCGTGGAAGAGACTGCGACTACGGCACGAGATGGAGCAGGTTTTCGTGACTCGGCAGCTCCGTCTTCACCTGGACGTTCCGTGAGTGCAGCCGCCGATCGCGATGCTACCGTGACCGATCGTTTGATTGACGCCATACGATCCATCAACACTACGGTAAGATCCAACCAAGCTTATTTTATTTCTAATTTCGATCCTAGTGTCAATGATATAGACACTTGGTGCGAGGAGGTAGACCGCGCGAAGGTTTCAAATAATTGGACTGATAATGAATGCTTGTCCCGCATTGGGAATTGCCTCAAAGGAGATTCGAAGACGTGGCTCAATGAGTGGGTCACTAGTGACCGCACATGGAGCAACTTTATAAGGGAATTCAAGCCCTTATGTCCTAGGAAGCCAGATGTAGCGAATATCCTATACGAGGTTATGAGCACAAACTCTGATAGGTACCCAACATATGCCGATTATGCCCGTCGCTCTTTATTGAGACTCCGTATAGTCAAGGGCTTAAGTGATGAACTCATTTCTGCAATTGTGATTCGAGGCGTAATGGATCCTCAAATCCGCGCCGCTGCCACAAATGCAAAGCTAATGCCTAACGAATTAGTAGAATACCTCTCCATCTACGTTAAATCGAACTTAAACTCAAAAAAGTATACCAACCCTTCTAATAATGATCGTTCTTTTAAATCTACCCTCGAAACAAGTCAGCGTAAGCGAAAATTCGAAGATGGCACATGCTTTTTGTGTGGGAAATATGGTCATAAGTCTTCGAATTGTCACAAACGCCAGGCTGCTAACAGTTCTAATAATAGCAATGGAAATGTACAAAGAAATTATCCAGTCTCCAGCTCAAGTAAAACAGAGCCATGTAGTTTTTGCAAAAAACCTGGTCATAGGGTAGAAACGTGTTTCGCTAAACAAAAATCAGAGTCGAATAACGCGGAAAATGTTAACTTTTGTCGTAAGAATCTTGACAGCGGGCGTAACGATATTGTTGTAGCGGTCATTCAAGGCATACCTGTCGATGTCCTCATCGACAGCGGGTCGAGCATATCACTGATTTCATCTTCGTTACTGAAATATTTTAAATGCGCGCGCAAGCCTGCCTTCAGAATTTTAAGAGGTATCGGTAGTCAAGACGTTGAATCTACTTACTATGTCACGTTGCCGATAGAATTCGATGAAATAACCTTGGAGGTAGACTTGCATGCAGTATCGCCAGAGTTTCTAAACACGCCTGTTATTGTTGGGACTGATGTGTTAAATCGTGACGGAGTGACCTACGTTCGTACACGTGATCGACAACATCTTGCTTATAATAATAGGTCGCCATATAACGTTATGTGCGCTGTGACAATACATGATACCCCCATTAAGACACCTTTGACCGGTCGCGACCTAGAAAGGCTGCTTGAGTTGATCAACGAATTTTCAAAATTCTTTATTTCCGGGACTGCTGCCACCACAGTCAATACTGGCAGCATGTCTATCAAATTAAATAATCATACGCCTGTTAATTATAGACCATACAGACTTTCGTTGCCGGAAATTTTGAAAGTTCGTGGAATTATTCGCCTAGAACTCCTAGATTCCGAATCTGAATATGCGAGCCCAATCCTCCTAGTAAAGAAAAAGGATGGATCAGACCGCATGTGCGTAGATTATCGCAGGCTTAACGGGATTACTGTCAAAGACCGTTTTCCTTTGCCGTTGATTGACGACCACATTGACCGGTTAGGGAAACACAAATTTTTTAGCAGCCTTGATATGGCAACAGGGTTCCATCAAATCCCATTGGACGAAGAGTCGATTCCGCTCACGGGATTCGTCACACCAGAAGGGCATTATGAGTATTTAAAAATGCCCTATGGTTTGGCGAACGCCCCCGTCGTTTATCAGCGTATTATATCGAAAACACTTCGCCGTCAGCTTGAGGCTGGTAAGACCCTTGTGTACATTGACGATGTGCTGATTCTTAGCCATACGATAGATGAGGGCCTTATTCTTCTCCGCGACGTACTTCAGACACTGACTGCGGCAGGTTTTTCTATCAATTTAAAGAAATGCTCATTCTTATCGACTCAAATTGAATATTTAGGCCGCACTATAAGTCAGGGTCAGGTACGGCCGAGTGAGCTAAAGGTCCAGGCACTCGTTGACGCCCCCACTCCAAAAACGGTCAAGCAAGTTCGTCAGTTGCTAGGTTTGGCAAGTTATTTTCGCCGATATATATCGGGTTTCGCTGCTAGAACGGCCCCGATTACTAAACTCACGAGAAAGGGTATACCGTTTCTTTGGGGAAGAGAACAAGAAGAAGCACGCCAAGAAATTATCTCACAATTAACCAGTGAGCCTGTGTTGGCAATCTACGACCCTAACTTGCCTATTGAAGTCCATACGGACGCAAGTTCTATTGGTTTTGGCGCTGTGCTTCTTCAGGTTCATGAGAACGGATGCAAGCAAGCGGTAGGTTATTTTAGCAAGCGAACGCAGGGTGCCGAGCCCAGATATCATTCGTACGAGCTCGAGACGCTAGCCGTTGTCAAGGCCCTGCAACACTACAGACACTACCTGGTCGGCGTTAACTTTAAAGTAGTGACCGATTGTAATGCACTGAAATCAACGCAGCAAAAGAAAGATCTCTTGCCCCGTGTTGCCAGGTGGTGGATGTACCTACAGGACTTCGACTTTACCCTAGAGTATCGTAAGGGTACGTCTATGTCGCACGCAGACTACTTGAGCCGAAATCCTGTTAATGTTTGCGAAGTACGCAGACAACAGAATTGGGCTCGAATTGCGCAGGCGGCTGACGAAGAGACACAACAGCTTATCCAAAGACTGACAGACGGACAGCTAGACACTACTCATTACGTTCACAAAAATGACCTGCTTTTTTATAAGTGTTCTCCAGTGGGAGAAGAGCCCAGGTACTTATGCTATGTACCTAAAGGTCATAGGCTTAGTCTGCTTAGGATATTTCATGATGAACATGATCATATTGGCGCTGATAAGACTTTAGAGCTTATTAGAAAACATTTTTGGTTTCCTTCACTAAAGTCATTTGTCAAAAAATACATAAGCCATTGTATCATTTGTTTAACCCATAAAAAGATTCCTAGAGACCCACAGCAGCCAATACATTCTTGGGAAAAACCCTGCACCCCTTTTGAAGTAATTCATACAGACACATTAGGTCCTCTACCTCAATCAAATGGTTATCGCTATGTACTCATTATAATCGATGCTTTTTCAAAATTTTGTCTTTTGTATCCTATGTTTGGTCAAGACGCTAACGAACTGAAACGACTTTTTACAAATGTCATTTCTCTATTTGGTACACCAAAATTAATAGTAGCAGACCGAGGCAGAATGTTCCAGAGCTCAGAGTTTACAAAACTCGTAACTGAGTTGGGCATTGATTTGCATCTGATCACTCCGGAGATGCATCATTCAAACGGGCAGGTGGAGCGTTACTGTCGAACATTGTTAAACATGATTCGCATACAATGCAATCATCGTCAAGATGAATGGGCAGACTTGATGTGGCGATCTCAGCTAGTTCTTAACATAACAAAGCAGAAAACCACTCAGCTTTCACCATTGAACTTGTTGGTTGGTATTGAAGCTGCTACGCCCCTCATACGTCACCTGGTGCGCGACGTGGCCTTGGATAGTTCGCATCCAAATCGTGAAGCGCATAGAGAAATGCACAGACAACGAGCTTCGGAGCGTTTAGCTCGGAACCAACGTCAACAAGACGAGACTGTGAACGCTGGTCGAAAATCCCCCCGATCATTTGAATGTAACTCACTTGTTTTTGTTATTAAGCAGGCGCAATCGACTGGCAAGCTTGACTCCGGCATGCGCGGACCCTATCGCGTGGTCAAAGCGCTTCCCCATGGTCGATACGAGCTGCAACTACTGGCAGGTTCCTATGGCAAATCGACGCAAGCTGCGGCCCAGTTTATGAAGCCGTGGCGCGGGGAGTGGACTCCAGAGACATGCGCTGCATACTTTGATGGTAAGACGTATGATATGCTAACGTCGTGCCTATGTCATACGTTTGTATTCTTTTCATGATACGCTAACGTCGTGCCTATGTCATGTTATTTTAGTGTGAACCATGATAAGCTAACGTCGTGCCTATGTCATGTGTTCATTTTCAAATTTGAGAAACAAGCTAACGTCGTGCCTATGTTTCTCGTTAACAAAGATAGCTAACGTCGTGCTTCCTCTTTGTTGGTTTTGTGAACTAAGCTAACGTAGTGCCTATGGTTCACTGTAAATTGTGTATGTGAATTTTATGATGAAAATCAGTTTCATAACTAATGTTTTTTTTTCCTTGTATGTTTAGGCGCAGATAGCAATGATGATAATGCGGAGTCTACGCCTGAGCAAGCTGCCAATGTCGATACGCAACCCACCATCGATACTTCGCCTGAACCGATGCCTAGCACATCCAGAGCTGCAGAAGCCCTGCAGCCCCAGCCGCAGGAGAACGGGGACGTCCTCCAGTCAGGAGAGGCCGTATTGGCGGAAGAGTGACGTCTTGGCTGTCATCGGAGGGGATGTTGGTGGGAGAAGCTACGGTTGCCTATAAAAGGGCCTGCGCGCTCAGTGGAGTCCTCTTTCTGCGTTGAGTACACATGGTACAAGGGAACCTCTGCTCGTTTGAAGGGTTAAACTGTCTTGTCTGCTATTAATTTTGCGTGTCTTTAGTTTAGATTGATCTATGTTTGTAATTTCAAAATTCGTTATTTAATTAAAATTTAAATTGTTGTTTATTGTAATTGTGTTATTAATAAATAAGATTGTGATTTGTATTTTTTTTAATATTTTCTTCCTGAAGTTGCCAAAAATATATAATAAACCGGACTGGTTACGAAATTCGTATATATATTGTTTTCGTATCATAAGCGCATAGCCTGGTATAAAATAGATAGAGTGGCTATTTTATCGCAATTGGTTACAATTATTGTGTTATTACAATTATGTTGTTAGCTATACAATTTTTATCATGTTTCGTCTGCTATTCTTACACGTCTGTACAAATAGGGGAATTGCAGACGGACCCCTAATCATTTATTTCCTGCCTTAATTTACGGAAAGTAGGTATGCTTCTAGAACATAGAGAACAAAGAACATGGCTCTCCCACACAAATGATTTGCTTAAAAGACTTGTATCCAGGCCATAAACTAAAAAAAAGACACACAAATGACAACTGACATGTTTTTGTTTAGTAAGTGACACTGACAGTAGGGAACTAACCTATTCAACAGTGTGAGATTAATAGGTATTGACTTATTAGTGATTAATTATTATTGTAATATATAGATACGACAGCACCAGCTAACCATACTATAGCAAAAATACCTCATACCTGTACTAGAGTCTGTGATTCTTGTGTACTTGAGGTAGATATTATGGTATTATTGTCACGAAACGTAACCAGTAGGCTGCAGTAGTAAATAAATACACAAATATAATATGCCTACATAATAATTAATTTCCTTGCCGGTCAATGAGTACTTATCTCAAAGATACTTAACAAGACACTTGAATATCCCCAAAAAATATCAACGTGTTCCATGTCCTGCGCAGAGCTCGGCCACATGACTTACCTACCATTTCTTATGATTTAATGGAATTATAAGTAGAATCTCGGCTGGTTTGCTCAAAAAGTTGTCTTTTTTAAATAGCTAGACAGGCCCTCCAGAAGATACTTGTGTGCAGGTATAATCCATTTTACTCCTATACATGCTAAAAGTATGCTACTAACAAAACTAAGCAACAAATAATGAGACTTGGCCTTAGTATTCTGCTCTTGATGTATTTTTGTGATGGTTTCTTAATACTGTACTATCCAGTTTGTAATGTAATCATAAGATTACTTGTACTTTGAAATTACAGAAAAGTGGCATGAAACAGCCACAGTATTGTTTTTGTTGTGTGAGTGACATTACCAGAGCCCCAATCCTTCCCCTCCCCCAATTCCAAAATCTCCAAATCCCTAATCCCCAAAAGGTTGGCAACACATTCTTAACTACTCCTTTGTTGTGGATCTTCATGAGTGGCTCTGATTCCTTACCATCAGGTAATCTGTACGCACATTTGCCAACCTATCACATAAAAAAATTTTTGATAAAATAGGCATTTGCTTCCTCACAAATAGGCCCTTGACCGCCGTGTCAAACAACACATGCATTTTTTGATTTCAAGTGAAGTTACCAGAGGTGTAATGTGTTTTCCATCTTTAATCATTTTTTTATTCTTAGTTCTCAAAGAGCAAACAACATGCTGTTACCATACTATACACATCAATAGTATTTCATTACATAAAATGTTACATGACAGACACAATCTCTTGGGGGATCATTTTACAGGATTCTAGAAGTTGTGTTATTAAATTCTATACTAATATTATAAAGAGGTGAAAATTTTAAGTTTGTATATAGGGGGTCATCTTTGGAACCACTTTGTGTTTTTTTGTTTCTTTGTCACTTTGGTTGGATTGCCTATTCACTGATACATAGCTAAAATGTTCCTGAGTGCTATAAGCTTTCAAACATCATGCTATGATTAAATTAATGGAGCCTTGCAGCAGGTGAAACCGCATGAGAGTAGGTAGTAAAATATAATTATAAGCTACTTATTTTGCAGAATGGTGAATAATAAAGATAGTGAATCCGAATCGGACGCCGTGTCCTCTGGTGACGAGGCGCGCTTCCGCATCAGCGTGTGCATGCGCCGCGTGTACAGCGACCACCGCGCGCGCGCGTACGTCAGCGCCGCGCCGCGCCGCCGCACGCTCTGGCTGCAGCGCCGACTGCGCGCGCGCTTCCAGCTGCCGCGCGCCTTCCATCTGATGTGCCGCGGCCATCTGCTGCACCCGCGAGAGCCGCTCGCCCTGCTCGAGCGCGACGATCTAGTCGAGTGGGTACCCCCAAATTTTCCTGGCTTCGGTCCACCCACCGACTTCGACTTTCCACTTAAACTTTTTTCAATATTTTAGAGTAATCCCTGTGAACGCAGAAGCTGAAAAGACTGTTCCGGATGAAGTAGATTCTGGGAATATCGTAGCTGATCCTAATCCCGATGCGTCGCTGCCAGAAGTTACCGAGAATCTCCAGGAAACTAAACGACAGGCGCTGCTTATGCTGGACCAGTACTGTGCCGTACCGTTAGAGGATTCAGGAGACCACGTGACACGACCTCGCCGGCGCCGGGTCAGGCGACGCCGACGCCCGGGCGCCAGACCACCAGGAGCTAGCTCCGGAGACGAGGCCCCAATGGACACCTCGACAGCCGTGTGTCGCGTCGTCGATTCGGAAGCAATGGTGCTACGTAATGACCTTCAACCGCGAGCACCGCGTGTCGTGCGTCCGCTGTCACCACAAGTAGCTTCCACAAATCTTGACCTAGAATCTACAGAGGTTTAAGCATAAATAAATGTATACAACACATTTAATTGTTTTCTTGTGAATTTATCCTCCTCATATTATCACCTGCCGTACGAACAGTACGTGGACGGCCAGATATTTTTCTGTCACGTCACATAGGAGGTCTCATTGTACCTAGTTGTACCTATTAATAGCCCGGTACACAAACATTTGATTAATGCCAAGCGTGTGGAGAGTTTTAAAAATTGCATTTGGCTCCATACCCACTTTGTGTAATGCAATCACAGCGATTCGGTTCTCTTTATCACCCCACTCCATTTTAATATCGCAAAATATTGAACAATTTATTGGCGCCAAAATAAGAAAACACAATGAAAAATTATATAAAAATGACAGATTCCAAATTCAAATGTAATATTTTGTTTATTTTTATTTCTAACAGTATTTATGGCCCGACTATGTATAATAACAACAATTAATGGGCACGTCGAACTTTAACTTTGTGGTAGTCTGTTGTTAGTAGCTGAAAGGACAACACATGGGTTGGAAAAAGTATATCTACTTATTTTATACTTTTCTACTTTACATTATATAATAAAGATAAATAAGAGGACATACACAACTGACATATACGTATATACCATAATTATAATATTACACACCATCTCAGTTTGATATCATTATCATTAATAAATTTTGATAGACATTTAATTAATTTATAAGAAAAGTGAGTTAAGAGGGAGTGGAAATTGATTGGAAGGGGGATTTCTAAATTTGGGAGTTTTTTGTAGAGGTCAAAGGATTGGGAGTTTAAGGGGCAAGAAAAGAATATGGTCCAAGGTACCCTCATCAAGACCACATTCGCACAGCGAACTGTCACGAACATGGATCTTTTTGAGGAATACTGGACTGCTACAATGGCCAAGTCTGAGCCTGCACAAGGTCGTAATAGTGTGTCGGGGGAGTTTGGTATATTTGCAAAACCCGTCGTCCAACGTCGTCGAACCAGACGTCGGGCTGGATATTAGCGTAATGGACACCTTTTCGTTTGGAAGAGTCCACCCACACAGCAGCCCAAGATTTAAAAAGCTTGTGTTTTGTGTCCGCTCGTATATCATACCCGTACACAACGTTATGTTGGTGTTCCACATTATTCGAGGCCGCAAACTTTGCCTACGTATCCACACATTCATTACCACTTATGCCAGAGTGCCCAGGAATCCAAGCGATTTCTATTTAAGAATAATAAGAATAAATTTATTAGTCCACTTGTTACAATTAGGTACATTAGGTCCTTATCGTAGTAACTTACATTATAAACTATTGTAACTATGAGTGCCGGTACATTAATTTAATATTAGTGGTCCCCAAACTAGGCTATGCCTGTATCTTGAGGACCTTAGTTATGGTAACATAAATTATAAAAACAAACATTTGCTAGCGTAAGTGTGGACAAAAGTTATTTGGCTGGATTAATAATTGTAACAATAATAATAAAAATGTGTGTGTGTGTGTGTGTGTGTGTGTGTGTGTGTGTGTGTGTGTGTGTGTGTGTGTGTGTGTGTGTGTGTGTGTGTGTGTGTGTGTGTGTGTGTGTGTGTGTGTGTGTGTGTGTGTGTGTGTGTGTGTGTGTGTGTGTGTGTGTGTAAGTATGTGTGTGTGCGTGCGTGCGTGCATATTCGTGGGTGCGACATGTGAAAAGTCTTGGACATGGAAAGGAGGGTTACACTATTAGCTTAGCAATTCCTCAATGTCGGATAATGTGAGCAATAGTTTTTGGACAGTCTTCTTACAGGATTGCGTGCTTAAACCTTTTATCTCGCAGCGTTTGCTAATTTTGTTGTAAACGCGGATGTGCGAGTAAAAGGGGCAACGCCTAGCCAAGAGGCTGGTGAACATTGGGAGGTGGAACGTATAATATGCGTTTAGAGATAAGAATGTGGTAATCAGGTCTATGTTTTACAGCTGTGTGTGCACGAAGTGTGGCGTTGAGGATGTACAGGTTTCGTGCACGTAGTACAGGAAATTCGTTGTAAAGTGCGTCTGTTGAGTATCTAAATGGTTTCTTAAGCATCACTTTTATTACAGATCTTTGAGCTCTTTCTATTTCAAGGAATGTACTTTTCCCTGCTCCACCCCAAACGGCTATTGCATATTGGAGGACAGATTGGCATAGGCCAAGGTATAACGTTCGTAGGACTGGGATAGGAGTACAGTCACGGACTTTCTTCATGACGTAGATGAATTTTCTCATTCGGCTTGAAAGCGTGCTGATGTGTGCTTTGAAAGATAGATTTTCGTCTATTGTTATGCCCAAGTATCTGAGTGTAGAGCTGCGTTCTATTGTTGAACAGCTACAGTCTGCAAGTGATGGTAAATTGTGTGCGCTGATACATGTATGAAATTTAAGAATTAAGTGTCGTGGAGGACCGGAGGCTGATGTCTTTTGTCTTTTTTATATTAAGTGTAAGGAGATTTTTATCGAGAATACCAGCTACAGTAGTGAGGCTTCTCTCAGCAAGCTGATATACATGTTCCCAGGTTTTGTCGTGGAGAATAATAGCTGTATCATCTGCATATGAGATGATTTCAGCGTTAGGTATTGAAGCATTTAGTACGTCGTTCATATAGAAGGCGAAGAGAGTAGGGCCAAGAGTACTTCCCTGAGGAACGCCGAAATTAATTGGTAGCAGGCCACTACTTACGTTTCCTACCTTAACTAGTTGCTGACGATTTGTGAGATAGCTCGTGAACCAACTCAATGCATTGCCGCGTATTCCTATTCCCGCTAGTTTAGATAAAAGAAGGTTAACAGATATAGTGTCAAAAGCTTTGGCTAGATCTAAGAAAACTCCTATGACGTGCTCCCCTGATTCTATGTAAGTGGCTATTAAATTAGTAAGTAGTGTTGCAGCATCTTCTGTGGACCTACCACTTCGGAAACCAAACTGTCTATTTGATATTAAATTGTGTTTTTCAAGAAAGCTAACCAATCGACTGTTGACAACTTTCTCTAGAAGTTTTGATAGTATTGGTAATAGTGCTATTGGTCGGTAGTTTTCTGGTAAATCTTTGGAACCGCTTTTATGTATAGGTCGGATGCAAGCTATCTTCCAGCAATCCGGAAAAATTCCATTCTCCAAACTTAAGTTGAATATATGTGCAAGTGGTTTAAGTAATGTCTTTTTCAATTTTATTATTAGCCGCGTACTGATTCCGTCTAGTCCAGGAGCACTGTCTTTTTTAAGTTGATGAATAAACTTTTCTATTTCTATTTCGTCAGTTGGGTGGAAGAAGAATAAGTGTGAAGGACTTTCTGGGGGTGTATAATTATTGGCTAAGGATGATTGCGTCTCGGAGAGTCTTGATAATATAAGGTCTGATAGATTTTTGCCTAGTGACGTAAAATATTCGTTACATTTATTTAGTGAATTGACTGGATCATGGTTATTTACGAGCAATCGCGACGAGTCATCTTTGATATTGTTGAAGTATAATGATTTTATAGAATTCCAGAGCTTTTTTGGATCTTTACGGTGTTTATTTATTTCTTCTGAGTTATATTTAGTTTTGAGTTTATGTAACAGGTCATTACAGTAATTTCGATACCTTTTATACACAAGTTGACGCATTTCGTCATTTGGATGAGATCTTGCATCTAAGTGGAGTTTGTCGCGATGTTTAATACACCTTAATAAGCCTGGAGTCATCCAAGGTTTGATTGTAAATTTACTGCGGCTGATTTTGATCCTCCGGGAGTTTTTTGCAATTGCAGCTGAGAGTGTGTTTATTAGATGGTTTATAGCAGTGTTTGTACAGTTGGAGTTAAGAATTACAGTCCAGTCAGTATTACCTATAGCTGCAGCCACCGCATCGTCGTCTGTTTTTAGTCTCCATCGGGTTTTGTTGCAATCTTTGTAGTTGTTTTTTTGTGATATGGAAGCCATTACCATGTCATGATCTGTTATAGAGCATTTGCCTATGACTCCAATTGACTCATGGTGTGACTTTATAAATATGTGGTCTAAACACGTATGTTCTCGGGTGGGTTCTGTAATCGCTGGTAGAAGACCATGTGAAGCTAATAGGCATAGATATTCAGTATGTCGGTGGTTGGTCGTGTTACATATATCAATGTTTAGATCACCGGCTAGTATTATTGTTGGGATACTTTTAATTTCGAGAAGAGCTGTGTCTAAAGAGGATGTGAAGTTGTCTATGTTCGCATATGATGGTGAACGGTAGATTCCTAGTAGTGCAAGTTTTTTATCAATTGTAAGAAGAATGCTGTCCGCATCTGCGACTGTATGTTCTAGTGTAGTAATATTGTATCTGGACTTTGCGTATATAACAATGCCGCCATTTTTGTTTAATTGCTCATTAGTTCGAGACACTGAGTACCCTGGTATTGGTTCTAGAATTGTTCCTTCATTTAACCAGCATTCGGTTAGGATAATAGCGTCGAAGTCACTATCAAGTCGTTTGACCGCCATGTAGAAGTTGTCAAAGTTCCGTTGATAGCTCCTAATATTAAAGTTTAGCACTTTAAAATTGTTGTGGTTGTTTTGTATTAGTCCCCTACAGTCTTCTAAGTCATTACATGTGTGACATTTTATTATTACATTTTTATCGACATCTTTAATAAAGTCAAGTAAAGTCATAGGTGAAGTTGAAATATTTTTTGGTAAAAATTACGTAGTTTTTATTATTGATGTAAAATGTCACTATCAAGTAGTTAGTTTTCAGATGTAAGGGAAATTGTATGTTCCTAGTGTTATGTAACATAAGGTGCTTGTTATTGAAGTAAATGAGTGGGCCTTTCGATGATGTTTGTACGTTGTATGTAGGTACTCGTAAAGCACGCGTATCCATAAAAGTATATGTAGTGTCCAGGTGTTTTAGTGAGAACTAGTGTGTGTTGTTTTATGTGTTAATGTTGTGTAATAAGATGTTTTTGTTGTGAGTATTATTAATAGTAATTTGTAAGTGCTAAAGTAGTTATTGACACATGAATCACAGTATATTGTTAAGAGATTATAAAAAATACGTTTTGTAAAAAAA